GAAAGAGTGAGCTTTCCTTAGAGTCTTTCGTGCCCCAACATTTGGTCACGAACAATAGCACAGTAATTGTAGAAGGGCGACGTGGAAAGATAGATATCTGATATATCTGTTTTTCCACGAATAAATAAATGCTGACGATGCAGCCAGCAGCGGTGTGCATGATTGACATCTAGGGGTTGCATGCGAACATGTGTCAGCGACCGGAGACTCCGTCACAACGCTTGCGCATGCTCGCTGTCGCTCGAACATGGAACGCGGACTACCATGAGTGAAGCAAACAGCCCGTTCAAACATCTTACTGGGTTCTGTCATTCATGTGTGTAGTAAGTATTGCGAACGGATGGAAAGGTGTGCCCTGGCCCCGTTCTAGCTCTTAGGTCAACATGAAGCTCGCGCGCTAAAGCTCCTTTTTACCTGGTTGGGCACTTGAGCCAAAAGTATATGGCATGTACCTGTATAGCGACTATACTGGGACCCCATCCCTATTGACACCCCCCACATCCGTACTTCGACGGGGAAGGGAGATGAGTGGATGTAAAAACCGGAGAACGAATCACGTTCTCAAAAGTGTATTGGAGGTCAACCAGTATGTCCTATTGAATTGAATTAGCAAAAGATCTTGCATTCGCTTGAAAGTTGGATCAAACAGGCAATGGAGCTACAAGCGGAAAACGTGCACCTACCTATGGTATCATGCGATTACCAACGGTGTGAGACACAATCCTATCTCACTCCCACGATGCCAAAACGGTCATCATGAATTACCCAAGATCCCTCAGTACTTGAAGTACCGGAAGTGGCATGTCGGTATGACCCCAATGCTCAACCATTCGTGAGTTGTCGCATGTAGTCAGCGCCGACAAAGCCAATGTAGTCCTTGATGAGCTCAACGTTCCTTGGATTTCCCGCTCGGATCTGCTCCTCGAAGGACTTCAATTTCCTTTCTTGGATATCGGATACCTCTATGCAATAGTAGCGGCATGCAACGAGGATCTCCTTCGTGACATTCTTCCTCTCCGATTTGATGGCGGGACTAATGTCGATGAATTTGTATGGAGCGGCACTTTCGTCATCTGGTTTCTGGTAGTAACTATATCGGCTCGCTCCGAAGGTCTTCTTGATCATGCGTCTGATGAAATTTGAGATGAATGCCAATTTCTCGATGATCTCATCCTGGGTCTCAGACTTTCGAGCCTTTGGATCACTCATGCTACGCTGAGTGCTGCCGACCTCTTTGAGGTACTTGTGGCTAAGCCCGCAGCGGATTGCAGTGATCATCATCGGATGAACAACGTTGGCGTGGAATTCATAGATCTGCCACGCTTCTGCCGCAAACACGTCGTCGGTCCATCTGCTCATGCCTACGACCTCGGCTCTCTTGAGACGTCTTGGAAACCCAGTATCCGGATCTTTCGGTACTATTGGCCATCTATTGTGCGGAGTGTCATGCCGCTGTCCATCGTTGAACATTCGCAGTACATCTTCACGACTCTCAAAGCAGTTGATGTCGAACGTTGCGTTGGCCAAGCCCTTGATCAACTTCATCAACCTCAAATCAAATTGCTGTGTGACGGCAAAGTTGTGGTCGATGGGGATCGCAGCTTCTTGCGGCAATTCGTCAATTGCGAAGGGGAAAGGCTTCGGAAGTTCATTCCCGTATCCATCTTGAGGGACCTCCCGATACTCGGGTTCGCCTTCAGCTTCGTCCGGTCGTTCCTTCAAAATGATAGGAACTTCCTCCTCTTCCTCTCCTTCGGATTCCTCGATCTCAATGACCTCTTCGGCTGTCTTGCGTGCGTTCTTGATGACTTCATCGATGTTTGCACCTGCAGCAGAAGTTGTTTCACCGGAAGAACTGGCTGGGACATCTTTCGGAGGTGATCGTTGATTGCGGTCCCTTGTCTCCTTGGGTACCACATGTGTGAGCTTCCCATTCGCGATCAAAACCGCTACGCAGTGCGGACATATCGTCAATCGCACATCGACTTCGCCAAGACAGTTAGGACACGGTCTTGAGTCATACCATAAGAATCCTTTAAGATAAAATGTGTGAAAATCATAAATTTTATGAAAACAAATAAATTTTAAAAAATGACAAATTTTATTTTTCTGATAATAGAAATTTATTATTTTGGAAACAAACATTTTATTTATTGATAATAAAATTCTATTTTCCAAAAAATAAAATAAAATATATTTCCAATAATAAAGCTTGTTTGGAATAATAAACTAATCTTGCGAGTATACACGACCACCACCACCAACGCCACCACCACCAACAACAACATTGCCAGTGGGTTCGTGAGCTTCCTCACTTTCGACAGGACATCGTGGCACATTGCCACACTGCTTGCGATGGCCTAGCTGAGCCGTGCATAGATCTCTCAAAACTGTCAAGAAAAGCTAGTATACTACATTTCCAACGCGCTCAGAACCTCTCTCAAACTCTCACGCGCAGCTCTCTCAAAACCCACAATTAAGTCTCTCAAACCTAGCTTATGCGCAAGTCTCGAACAGGCCTGGTAGTGCCTTTGGCACAGCAGGAGGTGATGCACCTGCTTCGGGTTTCTTGAAATGTCTGCGTTGAAAGTTTGAGGGTTTCGAGGGTTTGGAGAGTTTCTGGTTCTGGAATTTTTTGGGATTGAAAGTTTGAGGGTTCTGAATGGAGAGTTTTAGTTTTGGGATTGAGAGTAATTATTTGAGGGGCTGACTGGCTCCTGAAAAGGATGAGGATTCACCCTGTCAAACGAAGGTTCAGTCTCTCAAAACACTCAGACTTAACTCTCCAAGCAAATCGAACAACGTCTTCCTATTGACAACCTTGCTAGTAGGGGTTCGTTGAAATTTCGTCAAAATTGAAACCCCGAAAGCTCAAAAACCAGAAACTCAAAAAACTCCTAAGCGAAAGTCAGTGGGCACCTCCTCCAACACTTGCTCCAGACCATATGACCATAAATGGCTGCGGCATTAAGAAAACACTCGGAACTCTCAACTAACCTATAACAACGTATATGCTTCGATCCTCACCACACCATGGACCGTCCCCATGAGCCCATTTGGCACGCATAAAAATACACAGTTTTTCCACCCACCATATGCGTCAACCGATCTTGTCGATGATTGACCAGCGGCTCGGTATTCTGATTCGATCGTGGTCATACATGTCTACAGGTGCCCTCCTGACGCTTTTGCTGGAAGGTCACCTGCAAACTCTATTTGGAAGGAAGACTCTGCTTCGCGGCTGTTTGGCATCTAGATCTGCCAATTGGCTGTCTGGCATCTAGATAACCCTGACTCGGGCGTTTAAGCCCAAGGTTGTTGTCCAACAGTTTTGCCATAAAACAACTGCATTTTGCCTGCCATCCACCACTGTCACCCTTCCAAAATCCATCTCATAACCCGCCTCGGACTTCTGAGGCCCAGGTTTGCATCAAACAACCTCACCAGCGCCATTGTGTTTTCTCGTTGCCCGGAGGGTGTGCCGCGACCAACCTGTTATTTTTGACAACTTGTCATTCACAACTTTCATTTTTCCAAACTCTGACGTATCTTCTCGCCAAGTTCCTTTGAACCTTCAAGTCCATGTCGTCATGTCGCCCCGGATTTGTTTGAAACCGTTCTGCATCCCAAAAGGGTTGAACTGAGAAGCTCTATTCACCTCAAAGATCCTCAGAATCCTTTTGAACTCCCTTCATCCGAAGAGTGTTTGATCCAAAACAAAACGAAGCAAATATAGGCAATTCTTGATGCAAAAGGCTGGGGTAAAAGGCTATGCTGCTGATTGAGCTGCGAAGGCAATCTGCAAGTCAAAAAGTCGGCGCAAAAAGGATGAACGCATCAAATGAAATGGAGAGAGGGAATCGTCACGGGCAGATTCCTACAATTGGCCTGATTCACATGGTTTTACTTCTCACTCCTTCTCTTGCTAATCAATCTATGCTTTGCGCGGGTAGCTTCTCAAAACCTGTGAATATGTCTATGCTGCTCGTTTTGCTGCATTTCCATATGAACGTGTAGCTTTCGAGGCGATCACCCTGCAAAGCCTAAACCTCAAACACCCTTGCTCCAACTGAAGGTCAATGAACTTCAGATCAGTTTTCCTTATTTAAATCCTATCTTGCGACAAACACCTGTTTTTGATTGGAGTCCTACATTTGGGTGCCTACAAAACGTTAAGAACAATCACAACTCTTCACACTGGCCTGGACACTTTGTCAAAACCACAAGGCCACCTTGATGCCACGATCGCTTGAACCATTTCATCTCACATTTGTTGAACATATTCTGCAGCCCAATATCCACTTCTCACCCGGCTCCAAATAGTCAACATCCTTTTCATCGATCCCACTTTCCTGTACTTAATCAGTCTGAAGTAGTTGTTTTTTCCCTTCTTGGCTTGCTTGGTCATTTGCATCGTTGGTTCGTCGCTCTGCTTTTCCCGGTACATTGATTGTCCTCTCTTGCTTTCTGTTTTTCCCGGTACATTGATTGTCCTCTCTTGCTTTTATCTCTTTGCTGTCTCCTTAACAAGATTGCCCCAGTCTTGCAGGCGTTGTTCTATTGCTCCAGTAGGTTGCCAAAATTCTTACCTAGGTTGATTATATATTATTTAATCTTCAATCAATGTATATACTATTCCAACTGTATTGCGAGGACTGGTATTGCAAACCAAGCAAGGTGCATTTTAAACAATTGGTTCAGAACTAAACAAAAACAAACGCACTTCGCCTTTGCACAAACATCCTTTTGAAAGAAAATGACTCCTTTCAATGGACGAGACCTTTGCAACAAGGTGTTTGGAATGATGAACTTACTTATTATACAAATGTTGAGGAAAAATGTATAGACTCATTTTTTGCACGAGAGACTTGCGCAAAGGAGGGCAGCTGTACGAAGAAGTCTTCTGGATAAACTTTGAACACGTTTCCTTGCGTTGCCACTGTAGTTTCTCACCCTTGATCGCACTCTAACTTGACAAACTTATGTGGCCCAAAGCTGCTGAGATGACTCAAGCTCCTTGTATTCAATTCCTTCGCCTTGGCGTCTTTTGTAACTTGCCTGGTCTTAAACCCTAGTTGTGGAAGTTTCCTCTCGCTTTCTCATGGGGTGTTCTCCCAAGTGTCGTAAGAAGGTTGACTTCTATTCGCATTCTGAAGTAGTTTGTAAAACACTCTCTCTTGTCGCGAAGCGATGTTCTTTAAATGCTATTCTAATCACGCTCTAACTAGACAAACTGACATTGGATGAACACATGGGCCTCAGAAGTCCCAGGCCCGGTTATGACCAGGTGCCTCCAAATATCCAGGATGTGGCCCAACGTCCGCCACAATTGTGCTCCAAGCACTTTGCTCAGAGTCTCAAACTCTCAAAACTCTTAAAACTCTCAAAGCCCTCACACTGACAACAGAAGTCTCTGAAAAAGTTTCAAGTCCGCGCAGGCTCAAACACTGTAACTCTCCAAGCTCTCAAAACTTCCCTCTCAAACTCTCAAAACTCTTAAAACTCTCACTGTAACTCTCCAAGCTCTCAAAACGCCCCTCTCAAACTCTCAAAGCCCTCACACTGACAAAAGGAGTTCCTCAAACTTTCAAAAATGTGAGCAGGCTCAACCCTGTCAATATTATATATCTGTTCTGCCAATTGCCTTGCCACAAGCTTTCCAGAGACCAGGCGAGCGCTTTCCAATACTCTTTGACGGTTTGCTGCTTTGCCACCATATGGCTCCATATCAAGCTGACAACGAAGTTCTCAAACTTGCTGTCAACAGCCTCCAGTTTCACAACTGTCACACAATTAGATTAGTTAGAAAGAAAAAACACTAGAGGCTTCGTGTTTCACTGCAAGGCGCGTTTGTGCAAAGCAAGGACCGCCACGAAACAATTGCCACGGATCTGCTCTTGTCTTGCTTGGAGGTTGAGAGTTTGGAGAGCCTTTTTCGTTTGAAGGTCTGAGAGTTTTGAGTGTTGAGAATAGAGTGTTAGGGGTTGAGACTGGAGGTTTCTAAGAGTTTTGAGAGGAACTATCCGAGCAAAACTTCAATGTGAAAAGTTCAATGCAATGAACTTTCATAACAAAACTTCAAAGTGAAAAGTTCAATGCATTGAAGTTTCACATCAAATTCCCCGTAAGATTATAAAACATCTTCTTCCAATTCTTCTGAGGATTCTTTGCTCTCTTGCGAGCAGCTGCCGGGCGTTTACGCGGAAGTTCCTTGTCCGGGTCGGCGCTGGTGCGAGCTGCCGGGCGTTTGGTGCCGGTGCGAGCTGCCGGGCGTTTGCACGGAGATGCCTCCTCGTCCTGTTCTTGGCTGCTGCTGGATACCTTAAAGCTTGCACTTGCAAGAATGTTGGTGTTTAACCTATATAAGCATACGTACTAACCTATATAAGCGTACGTACGTATTCGGCTGCCTCCACGACAACATTATCTTCTTTCTTCTTGCCAAGTACCTCTCAGAACTGAAGTTGACTGAACCTTAAGGTCCACTTACCTTCGCACTTCCTCATCCTTTTCATGAGCCAGCTCAGCCCCTCAAATAACTCTCAATCTCAAGACTCTCAAACTCTCAAAACTTGCAAAACTCTCCACTCGGAACCCTCAAACTTTCAATACTTAAGCACCTCGTCCAACAGTGTCTGATCTTCTGCGGGTATGGATTCTCCTTCCTTCCTCAACCCCGACTCATCAGGTTCCTGGCTTGGTGACAAATTGGGTCACAATAGCTCAAAAATCTCGGGTTGCAATAACTCATCTACGAGATCTCGGGTCACAATAACTCAACATTATGCAACAAAGCAACCGCAAGAGGTAACACTCCAGGATCTTTGGAACTTCTTGCCTCACGTTTTGCAGCATCCTCAAACTTTCATTTCAAAAACCCTCAGAACTTCTGCGCCGATAATATCACTCAAAAGGCAGTGGATGTGGCGAGTGCGCTGAAGTCGGGAAGATCATCATTAGGCGACTTCCAAACATCCTCCTCCATGCCAAAATGGCACGCTATTCATGGTGCATACAGGGTACAGAACTAAGGAGCGCAGGTGGGGGTCACATGCAAAGGATAGGCCTGGCTGTCATTGTAATGAACACTTCCCAGCAAAGATCTGAGCATCTGGATTTCGTGCTGGGTGGCCATGCTGCAAGTACGTTGGAACCCTAGTTTCCAAATTCTCCTCGCAAAGAGACCTCGAAGACTCTCAAAACAACCAAAAAATATACTCTCAAGAAACTCGGTGTCAAAACCCTCGTAACTCGATGTCAAAACTCTCAGGCACATGTAAACATCTCAAACCTCTGAAGAACACTCGATCTTAGTTAGTTGCTGTTTCTCATCAGCGCTGCATTTGCGAAGTTTGATCAGGGTAATCCGAATCACCTCGCCAACCTTGTCAGCATCATCCTTGCTGAAGGTGGCTAACTTGCTCACCTCACCGCCATCTATATGGCACTGATAGATTGCCTGCGCAATCTTGGTCTTGTTTACCGCAGTGTTAGGGCACAGGATCAGCAATTCCTGGAACGCAACAGTGTACTTGGAAAGTATTCCCAACGCGGTCTTCGGCGTGCTGGTCCAGTTGCATTGCCCTTCTCTGGCCAGCTGAACCATGTGGTGTAGGTTCCTTCCTGTCTCTGCCATGCCCTTTTCTAATGTTTCTTGAAGGTTGACCATGGAAACATTCCCATCAGCTGACAACCGTGAGCGCTTGGTTTTCAAAGCCATAGAATACGGAGACGTTTTCTTCGCGTCTCTCTAAATCAAAAGGTGGTGCTCGACGCGTTCAAGGGTTTCTGGTTAGTTCTTGAAATCTTTGGATTATGTAGTGCTGTGGTCTCTCTAAACCTCGAAAACGCTTTCAATCAACCACTGTTGGGAAGTTGGGCACTTGTGGCTCAGATACTGCGACGAACAAAATTGCAAGTTTGAAGCCCTAGTTGCTGCGCGCGGGTCAATCAAACCTACTGAACATCAAGCCTGCCGACTCTGTGGAAGCTCTCCAAACTCTCCAAACAAATTCCCTCAAAACTGTCTCAAAGCAAAGCTCTCAAAACTCTCTCAAAGCAAAGCTCTCAAAACTCTCAAAGCAAAGCTCTCAAAATTCTTTCAAAGCAAAGCGAAAAATCATATGTGCAAATGAACCCTGCACGTTCTTTTGCGCAACATTCTGCGATGCTGTTCTGTTCAGTTTACAAACTACAAACAGATTGGCACAGCTACAGAACAGACAGCTGTCGTACGCCATCACTCATTTCACCACACCACAGTGCCCGGAAACACAGCGTCCATTCCATGAAGTTGGTCCCTTTTGCTTCCCCTGCAGCTTTGGTATCGTTCGATTGTGTTCAGCTGAAGGAAAACACTCAAACTGGATTGGCTGCATTCAATATTGGATTGGCAGCGCCACAGATCACAATAAGGCACCTGTACACATGCATCATTGAACCCTGAACCACTCGAGTAACTCTCAGAACAATCAGAACCCTCCAACACCACCGCCACCTGCACCACCACCACCACCACCACCACCTTCACCACTCTCAGTAACTCTCAGAACACTCAGTAACTATCCAACACCACCACCACCACGACCTGCACCACCACCACCACCAACAACAACAACTTATATACACTCTCAAGATTCGTTTGTTTCCAATAATAAATTTTGTTTTATTTTTTGGGAAATGGAATTTTGTAATTTTGGAAACAAAAGTTTTGTTATTTGATGGTAAATTTTGTTTATCAAAAACAAAAATTTTATAAAAACAATAAAATTTTCTAAAAATAATAAACCCATTTTGTTTTATCATTTTCAAGTGATTTTATCTTAAAGGATTCTTATGGTAGTCTTTCATCGCTCGGCGGTACACGATCTCCTCGAAGAGTTCCTGCCACTCGGTGTTATCATATTCTGGGTAAACACCACTCTCCTCGATCATACCCAGCAGCTTTGAGATTTTGGCGTCGTCCTCGGAGTAGGTATCGTCCTGAACCTCAACCGCTAAGCTCTCAAGCTTTTGAAAGCGTGGAATCATGATCGGGTTTCCGTATTTGGACTCTAGAACAAGGTAGCTTCCAGGGTCGGGTTCCCCACTGAGTAACCGGATCCATTCGATCTTCTCAGGCTGTCCGGGTTCCGCATTGTCGCATTGCAACCATGCCCCTTTAACCTCATCGAAGGGAACGACGTTCTCAACCAATAGAGAGCCAGTCGCTGAGATGAGAAGTCCGTACTCCTGCAGCTTCCACACCGGAATGTAGAGAACCACTAACCGATCATTCAATGCGACCTTACGACCCAGCCAAGGTTTACCCTTGTAGCCCTGCTCCCAGGCCCATGGCGGAAAACATGTGAAGTGGATAGAATCCCTTCCCGATGAACCGAGACCTCCCGGCACTAGCCCTCGTCGCATGATTGAAGTCAGCGCTCCGAGATTGGTAGCGTGAAATGCAGTCACCATAGATAGGGCCATGTCGTTGGTCATTCTCGACCCAATGTGGTCGATGTCAATGGTAACGTCATACCCTCCGCCGTCCGTTGAGTGTGCCGAGGTTGCTCTTACAGCCACGGGAAAGCACCATCCATCGCTATGGTGGAGTCTTCCTTTAGAGATTCCCATGTCCTTGAGTTCGTTAATCCATCCCTTCTCCATCGGGTCATCAGGCTCATTGAGTTCATCAGGGTGAACACGGACCGCTAACATTTGGAATCTGACCCTCTTGGTCATGCGGAAACACTCATAGTTCTGGTCGAAGTACTTCTCCAAACGCGCCTTCTTGGTCACGATATCTATGTTGCCATAGTGATAACCGTCTTCCCAAACTGCATTATCACCTAACAGGTCTTCCCATGACACCCATGCGCCTTCATCGCATTTGATTGGTGCGAGTCTCCCTCCTGTCCTGAACTGGCGTCCAATTCGATGCCTCAACTTCGCTCCCAATCGACGACTCAGGGCCTGGCTCGTTTGGCTGTATTCACGTACTCGACATTCTGGAGTCGGATACTTGTGGTTGCCATAGTCGGAGTTCTTTGCAGCGAAAGTGACTTAGTTGATCGGTACTAGTTCAACTTTCCCGACCATCGTCATGGGGTCGATCGGCTTGTATCCCTTCTCCCTCCGTGTTGGTAGGGGATAGAAGTGATGACATGCCTTTGGTGTGAGGGAACTGGAGTGCACAAATGCCTTCTCGACAAATTCGTACACCTCTTTCATATCCTTAGGGCCTGCTTCCGAAAGCTTCCGCCCATTGTAGGAATGTGGCCCTCCTTCGACTCCATCAGCACTTTCGATCAAGGTGAATCCGTCATGGTCGAACATTGTCACGACTCTTGCTTTTAACATTTCTTTTCGCCTGAACTCGCTGTCGACCTTCCTATCTGGAGTGGGCGATGCTCTCTGCTTCTTCTTCTTCTTCTTAGGCTCCTCGGTTGGATGTCCAGATGGTACATCGTCGGGTGCAACCTCTCCCTTCACTCTCTTCTTCCAATCACTCAACACCGAGGTGACTGTAGGTGAAGATGAAGGGGTCTTCTCGCAATTGAGAGTTGTGTGTCCCGACTCCATGCAGTGGATGCAGAATTCTGCCCGCCCGATCTTCTTCTCAAATTCGTCGATGGCGTGCAGTATTGATGCCTTCGGGTCGGACATGTCAACATCTTGCTCCTCCTTCTCCTGTACACCTTCAGTCTCCATATCGACACCTTCGGCCTCGGGCTCGCCTGTGGCTTCTGTTCCCTGTTCTGGTTCTTTCCCAATTTCGAAGAAGTGGTCGATGTCGAATTCAGGAAGCGGCATAGTCCTCATGCGAACGAGAATCAGTGCCACGTTTGCCGCCTCATCAGAGTGCGGGTCCATGGTTCTAATCATCGATCGCTTTCGGTTCTCATACGTTGTCCTGTCGTACAGCGATGCAGTGACGCGTTTGATGGATTCCTCTAATCCCGTCCTCAAAGCTTTGATGTCACCCCATCTCCTGAACATGTGCCTGAAGAGTTGAGCAATTTCGAACATGCCCAGCAGCGCTTCCACCATGTCACCTACCCGTTCCTCCGTGGGATCATCTCCGAATATAGTGCGGAATACATCGGGTTCCAGTATGGTCTTGAGGTATTTGGTGTAGCATACGTTAGGAACCCTGGTAGTACTTGGCGCTGCCGACTATCTGCTTTTCCACATGGATGCTGGGTCCTCTCCTCGTTTTGAAGAAGTTCTCCGTCATTGTTGATGACAACCTGATCCCCCCGAAGAACGAAATCTCCTTCTGGAAACCTGGATTCTCATTGAAGATGATCATCGCCTCGTGTAAAAACTTCATCAAGTCATCGTGCGGGTTCATCTCGGAGATTACGATCGTGGGAGAAGATACCGTTTGCCCCATGCCGAAGTTGTGAAGCAATCGAGCACATGCATGAAATCGCTTCTGGACGTAGTCTTCTGCGGACATCCCACGGCATCTGTTTGCTGCTCCGTTGATGCATTCCGCATAGCAATCGTCTTTCAAATCGGAGTCTATGGGATTGCAGAACAGACAGTAATCGCAGCAAATTTCCTCACCCTCCTTAAAGTCATCAATGACGTACCACCTTTGAGTCCTTGAGTATATTGGTTCTGGCTGAAGGACTCCCCAGTACTCATCCATCCATGGCATCTTGTTCTCTCTCCTTACCTTCTCCCTCTTCCTCCTCTCAGACTCATTCTCACCTGAAGGCTCCGCAGTGGACTGATATGCATGGCTTCCTCTTACGGAATCTCCGAACAAGTACTGATACAACCTCTCTTTGTCCTGCAACACGTGTTCCAAGTTGGGATCATGGAGGCTATTCGCTTCGGTCAAGGGATCCGGTGCCATAAAGCAAGAAGCGAGCATCTTTTCTCTGAACAAGTGCTTTTCCATGACAGCGTGGACCAAAGAGGTTCCAGACTTCATAGAGTAGGGGTGACCGCTTCCGGCGACCGAAATGGCTCGCCAGAATCTGTCCGACGTTGTGGACATCATGCCGTTCAGCGACAGCTCGTCCTTGATCATGTTGGCGATCTTACCGAACGAACCGACGGCATGGTGAAACTCCACGTCTGCGCAAACCCTCACGAAGGTAGGTAGTTGGCAGCATGCGTCAAGCTTGACGATCACATCCCTGAGTCTTGGAACGAAGTCCGTGGGAACAATCACAGTCTTGTATGTCCCCTTCTCGCCCGCAGTCACTAGATTGCTCAACGACAACCACACATGGATGGAGGTGGGTTCATGGCGTTTGACATCATCAATTCGATCACGAACGAAGTTGATGAAACCATATGGATCCGTCATCACTCCCTTCTTGTACTCAGGCGTACATGACATGTTGATAACCTTATCCCATCCAAGTGACAATAGGCTCTGGGCGAACACTGTCTGTTTTCCGGAATTCGATTTGGTGATGTACTCGAAGTCAGACATCAAAATCACCTTACTGGTCTTCATGGCGCCGATGAACTCACAGTGCACACTCTCACCGTCGTTGGTGCGAGTCGCTGGCTGGCACGTGACACTAGGGATGAAGCCCTTCAATGTCTCACGCATCCTCAGCTCCAATTCCGCTTCATCAATCACCTTGGCTTCCATTGGGTAACAAAGGTTGTATAGCGTTCTCGGAGATGGTAGCCCTCCAGCAAGTGACACTTGTGTTGAGTCGTAGATGTTGGTATATTGAGCGAACCAATGGGCGTCTTCTTTGTAGTAGT